ATGCATGCATACATACATACACATATCTATTTATTTACTTGTGTATTTATTTTTCACTCCTTATTGGTTTATACTTATCTATTCGTTTGCTTCATTATGTACATACTAATCGAGTATACTATATGCTATATAAAGCAAGCTGGAGTGGCGATTTGCCCTTTTGCTTCAAAGCGTGGCGCGCTGCCTGCCGAGCATTCTTCAATCCTCCTGCGCACGCGGGGGAATCCAAGCGTTGTCTAGGAGGCTTCGCCGATTGACCTGCACACTTCTGAATCAGACGATTGTGACCCACTCTAACTGCTATCTAACTGCTACTACAATGCTTGAACTGATATCTGTTACGGGCATTATTTTAGCATAGCATTACTACCATCGTACAAATTCAGCGGCCATGGATCAACGTGATCGATCCATCGCCTTGTTGCGGCGATACGACTTTCAGCCAGTGATGGCCGGCATTCGAGCGATAGGCGAGCATCGCCGATTGAAAATCCAGGCCAAGCCAGGCAAACTTTAAAGACTTGCGAGCTTTGCCACTGTGCTTCCCTTTGGCACGGACCACATCCTTTGAAGTCTCCGGATCCTTTAGAATCTTTAGAGATGCCACCGCGTGGCGAACTCCTTAGGATGCAAGGCTCTGGTTCCGAACCCGCGGCAGATGTCCTGGTACGTGTAGACTGACGGGAAAGGAAGCCAACAAGAGTGGTAAACGACAACATCATGCAACTTTTTAAGCTGTCGATACGAAGAGATGCCACAGAAGCTTTGTCAAACACAACTCCGTCAGATATTTGGAGAGAACAACAGCCCTTGGCTTGTATGATTCGGCATGTCGTGGCAAAGCTCAAACTGGCTTGACGCTGCTAGACATGCTACCTCCAGCCTTTGCTGGCGCACTCGGTGAAACAGATGAACATGGCTTGCTCATGCACCTGTGAAACACATCTACCCCCCCTGCCAAACCAGGCATTCTTCTGAGAGAAGCTCACATACGCTTATCACGGCCGTCGTGTACAAGTGCAAACCGAAGTCAGATTTGCGAGGAAATGCTTCAGCCCCCGCAGGCAAACTTTGGCTGCCCAGGGCTGATGCAGAGCTGCACACTCAAGCACCGTTTAAGCAGACGATACGCCCCTGCGCCAGTCGTGCTTGAAGCAGGGCAAGAGCAGCAAAGCATTCACATCATGTCAGCCACAGCATCCGATGAAGGGCGATCCGAAGAGCCCAGAGACTCCAATATCCCTTAATTAAGGAATATACCTTAAACTATGGTAGGATCCCTAATATGATTTAAGGTATATTCCTTAATTAGGGGGTTTTGGAGCCTCTGGGAGGGCCCCCGCTCTCTGCACTTTTTCGCTGGCGAATGCGCTTGCAGTCCAGGATTTGGGCTGCACGTGCTGCAAGCTGCGCAGAAGCATTTCCTCCGCACTGCTGCGTTGATAAAACGGCACGACGGTGCTTAACGGGACGATGCCAATACGCAGCCTGCGCCAGGTGGATACTAGGGTGACACGACATGCCAATTCGGCGTCGATTCTCGTCCTGCAATGGAATTCGCTCTGAATTCACATTCCGCACGAACTCTATGCAAACATCTCAACGCGTGTCGAACCCAATCACAGGCGAAGTGCGCTGACATCTGTCATGGTGCTCACACCACGAAAGAAGCTCGGACATTAGCTTCGAAATGCTTCAAAGGTCGAGAAGAAAGCCTGGCAACGCAACACTGCACTTTTCAGGTTTAGGGTTTAGGGTTTAGGTTTAGGGTTTAGGGTTTGCGGAGGATCGCCACTGGCCTTCGTTCAGATGAGGTCTAAGTCGAGGAAGCCGTCGCTGTCCGGAGCCAGGGAGCCATCTGAATCCTCGACGCGAACGGCAAATCAAAGCTCCAGTGCTCGTTGGCTTATTATTATTATTATTTTTTCTTCTTCTTATTATTATTATTTTCGTGGTCAATATCGGACAATGTAGTATAATATCGTGAGATATAAAGTGCAATATAGTAGAGTATAGCATAGCATTGTGTAACTTCACATAGTATCATGTAAAATAATGTAATGTAATAAGTATGGTAGAGTCGTAGAGTATACTTCGCTGCTGCAACTCATGGCGCTCAGCGACACTCTCGAGCCCGGTCGACCCACCTCGTCCAGCTGCATCCGACTGCCTGCAGAGCATGTGCATCTCCCCCAAGTCTCTACCCAGAGACTCCAAAACCCCGAATTAAGGAATATACCTTACATCATATTAGGGATCCTACTATAATTTAAGGTATATTCCTTATATAAGGGGTTTAGGAGTCTCTGGGTAACTGCACTGAAACTCTAACCCCTGACTGGACCCACACAAGCACCCCTAACCCCTAAACCCTCAACCCCTAGACCCCCATATTTCTCATCCCTCAACCCCACAGCCCTAAACCCCTAAGCCCCAAACCCTCAACTCTAAACCCTAAACCCCGACAGCCCTGAACCCTAAATCCTAAATCCCTAAACCCGAAATCATATGCCCCTAAACCCTAAATCCTAAACCCCCAAGCCCCTAAAGCCCTAAACCCTAAACAGCCTAAGAGCGACTCTGATTCAAGACACTAATTAAATCCAAAACCCAAAACCCTAAACCCTGAACCCTAAACCCAAAACCCCTAAAACCCTAACCCCAAAAACCCCTAAACCCAACAAACCCTAAACCCTGAACCCTAAACCCAAAACCCCTAACCCCCAAAACCTATAGAACCCTAACCCCTAAACCCCTAAAACCCAAAAACCCAAGAGTTGACCGCCTGAGTAGGCGCGTCCCGGACTCCAAGGCCGGGCGCTCCGAGGACCAAAGGACGGCAAAGGCTGGCGCCAGAGGGGGTGAAAGAGCCACCCGGGGTTTTCGGGTTTAGGGTTTAGGATATATATATATATATATACATATATAATCATAATATATATGTATAAGAGATAGGTGGTTCTCTAAATCAGGATCCCTTTTTCGGGTTCTGTAGAGGGATATATAAGGGTTTCTAAGGGTACAAGGTCAGCACGCTTTGTTTTCACTGGTGATTTGCGTTGCGTTTAAGTTTACTTTACGTGGCAGTCGTGGTGCTTTTGATTATAAGACCGTTTCTGGGCGTTAGAAAGCTTATCATGCCAGGGGCCAAACCAACCCAAACTGCCAGCGTGTTGAAAAAGTTGTCGACATGTGTCCGTCGTCAGCCCCCCACCCTCCGTCCCGCCACCCGGAAGGCAAGAGAGGGGCCAAACAAGCCAAAACTGCAGCGTGTTTGATGCAAGTTGTCGACACATGTCCGTGATTAGTCTCCGTCATTAGTCCCCCCCCACCCCCGCAACCCCGAAAGCGAGAGAACAATCCTGAAACAAAAAGAACCCGCGAAAAGCAAGGAGCACGCCAGGGAAAATAAGGTGCGAAGGCCCCGTATAGGGGGGCCCTATATACGGGTAGTTCCGTTTATTACGGGTGCTACTATATCGGGGACCTGACAGGGGAGTCTAATTTAGAGAACTACCCATGCAATCTGCAATATCTACTACCTGATCTGACTACAGAATATATAGTATGTATCGCATAGAATCTAGAATACAGAAATTATGACATATAATATATCATAAACCAACTAATTATGAGAACTGTGGCATTCTACCTGCTGTATAACCCATGAGGATTCCGACTTGATAGACTACAACAGCACTTATAGGGTTTAGGGCTTTCAGGGTTAAGGGTTAAGGGTTTAAGGTATTGTCTTGGGTATGTGTGTGTGTACCCTGCCTCCTCTGCCGGTGGACGTGCAGCTGGAAGCGAACCAAACACAGGGAGATCCTCCTCCTTGGAGAACCCGAGCACATCCCCGGTCACGTCAGCTACATCCAAGCAAAGTGCAGGCTGCTGCATGCAGTTGGCTGAAGAAGTCCGCCGATTTACGGGGCTTCCTCCTGTGTGCTGCGCCCGCATACACTTGCGGACAAATATTGCTTCTGAAAGCTCTAGTATACTGGATAACTGCCGACCGGTCTGCGGCCGAACTGAGCCCGGCGCCGAGTTGACCGCACTGCTTTCAGAGCCCTTCAGGGATCGCCACTGCAAGACTGCATGTCAGTTCCTAGAGCAACATGTCCTTCCTGCCCTAGTCCCAACTGCGCGAGGCACTCCACATGGAACCCCGATCAGCCAAGACCAATTTATCTCGCGCCGTGCCCAGTGAGCATTTTATATGCAGGGAAGCATTCTTCGGCTACAGTAGTTCTGGCTTGAAATGGCTCGTAGCCGCTGGCAGCCGGCAGGTTTGCGCCTCCTGGTAAGTCTCGGCAACACCTGCCGCCTGGCTGCCTTCACGGTATGTCACATTCACTCTGCTATAAAACTTGGAGGTTCATGGGTAGTTATAAGTGGGGTTATAAGTCCCCTAATATGGGTTATAAGTATAGTTACCCTACTTATAACCCCACTTATAACTACCCATGAACCTCCAAGAACACAATCATGCGCAATACATCGCAGGTTTCGAAGCCTGGAGAGTGCGAGCTCAGAGACAGCCCGGATTTCTCCTTCGCTTCCACTCGCTCAGCGGGAATTTCCCTACCGAATGATCCCAGTAAGGCCGGAAGGTCCTCGTTACTCATGAAGCTGATCTGTTTCAACATGCCGCTGTCTTCCAAGCCGGTATTCAGATCCACGGCACTCCAGTTGACTCCTGTAGGGCGCAGGACACGGGTGCAGTTTAGACGCGACACAAGTTGGCCAGTACTTCGACCGACCGAAAGCCCAGAGACACTGGACAATTCACACGGGCAAAACAAGCGGTCCTGCCAGACCAACCGATGGATCTGGCAGATGTCCGACACGATCCTCGTGGCTACAGAATCGGAAGATTTTGAACTAGTTTCCAACAAGATTCCCACGGAAAGGAAGCAAAGAAGAATCCATGTCTTGAGCCACAACTCTTACAATAACGGGAGGCCAAGTAAGGATTGAGCCCAACCCGCGGCAACTACGTGTTCGGATCATTTCCAAACATTTCCACATACTTCCTCCAGCTGCACATCAGTGATCTACACATATATTGGGTATAGATGTATATATTTCTCTATCTATTTATCTAACAACCTATCTGTCTATCTATCGGTTCATC